TAAGTACACCTCTACTTTTCTCATACAGTCAACCATTTATCTTTTCATACTTTTAGACCTATCAATCTTTAAAATATGAATTATATATGGAAGATTAAACAGTAGAAGACATTTTATTTTATGCAGATAATAGTACTCTCTATTTAGCCTATGTTAGTTGGACGTCACTTCGGGTAATGGCATTGATATGCACCCAAACTTCATTATATGCAAGAACCTGTAATCCTTGATTAGACAGATAGTATAAGATGTTAATAGTGTCGAGTTCATGAACCATTTCAAATCGGATTTGAAATAGCTATAGAACACAAAATATGTGATATATGTTTATTGCCTTTGTCCAAGTTTTGGGGGTGCAACCTGCGCCTAATGCATTTAGATAAATTATTACAGGAAGTGAATTCATTAGACGTACAACAACCAGGCTCCTCTCGTTAAGTGATACATGCTGAGATAATGATATAATTTTCACAGTAACTGATACTGTTCTTGATTTTTATTTGAGCAGGTATTTATTGCGATGCTGGTTGATAATTTTTTGTACCCCATATCAGCTGTACGTTCAAATTTTTCTCAGTCTATCAATTGGTCTGGCATCCGATATCATTTGAAGAATGGGAAAATAAACAAGGTATCATTAATTTGAGGCCATTTATTTAGTCTTAAAATCACCACATTTGATGAATTTGTTCTTTCAATTGAAGCATTAATAATGTGTATTGAAGTTTTCCCATCCTCTCTTTCTCCGGGACTTAATAAATGGAGAAAACTAAAGAAATACACTTCATAATTACGACTCCTATCATTCACTCATTTTTGTCACAAGAATTAACATGCTGCAAAATCGTAATCACAGACCTCAACGTGGCTTCAAATGATTGACCTTTTCTAGTAATGTATGAATATTTGCGTTTTCTACAATGAAAACTGTCGAAACATTTGAACAAAGAACTTTTGAAACATTGATTATGGTAAATGCTGGAAAAAGGGTCATAATCAGAGTGAAAACTGCCATCTCAGAGAGATTTATGGAAAAATTCGTGGAATTGTCAACTAATGAAGATACAGAGATCCTTAAAATAAAAATTGGATACAATCTTTTAGAAAATAGAAAATTCAACATATATAACATGCACATTCGTTGTTAATCTGCAGATTGAAAGAAATAAAGAGGAGGGCCCTAAGTTCACAG